CCCAATTCTGCATTGCATGACCCCCCTTCAGTGGTCAGCCCAGTTTCAGCCTGCTTCTTGCCCCGGGTTATTGGGACGCTGTTTTGCCGTGGTCTTAAATTGCCTTGTCTCAAACCCTTGAGAAAATCCGGAGTGGAAAGCAATGTTCCCTCTAAGCTGTGGAGTCTTGTGAGCAACAATTCCGCTTTGTGAGCGACTGGCATTAAAGTTGTGAGCAAGTTGATTTGGCTACTGCATAAATTAGTCTGCTCTGGAGCCCTCCTTCCTGAGCTAAGACAGAAATGTGTGAGCCAGAGGCTAAAAACCTGTGATCTAGCTCACACTAACTCAGCTTAGAGGGAACAGTGGTGGAAAGGACCTTTGACTCTCAAAAGATTATACCTTGGAAATCACGTCGGTCTTCTAAGATGCTGCTTGGGCTCAGATCTTGCCTTTGACCCCATGAGGGAGCTTTGGTGGGGTTGTTGCTCAGGTTGCTCTTTTTATTAAACAGAAATGTTGTTTCCAGGAACTTATAACCCCCACACACACACCCCACCCCACTGCTTAACAAGAACAAAGGTGGCTATCTGTCATGCTGAAGGACTTCAAAACAGGGGAGTCTCCAGCCATTCACTTTTCCGGCCCTCGTTCCTACTAATGGATCCCAATCGATCCCCGTCATGTGCTCGGCCCCCCTCTCCGAGTGCCGCCACTGTTCTCGCAGGAGCGCTCCGCTGATGACGCCGTGCCTTAATTCCCCGCCCCACCTTAATTCCCCACCGGGAGAGAGACTTTAAGGGACGTCTCGCCCGACTCACACACTCCGTGCGCCACCAGGTCGTGCACACTCTCTACGGGGGAATGGAATCTGAAGGCTGATTCCGTGGCAGTGCCGTCCCTGTGTGCATCAACATACAACAAGTACCGTCCACAGATGATTATAACATATCATAAATAATTTTACGTTTTTTGAAAAATATTTTTACAATAATTTCTCCATATATAATAAATCATCTTAATCAAAAATATCAAAAATCATCTCCAAGAATCTCAAAAGCTATTGTACAACCTTTAATAATCGTCCTCCTCTGTTAAATAAAAGTTTCACAAGGGAGGACTCCTTAAAGTCTCTTTATAACATGTGCTCGTGTCTTCCTCCAACAGAGGTCCAGATATCCTTCTGTTTCCGAATCTTCCTCAGGGAGTTCAACAATAATTTTCAGCACAAGGTTGCGACGTACCAAAGTTTTAATCCAAAGTTCTCTTCAATGAACGCTGCAAAAATCTGCTCCAGGGTGCACTTAAATAAAGAGCAGGCAGCATTCCTTCTGTCTGCTTGTGATTTCTGAAATCCCCGGCTTCCTATTTCAAAAGCTGAGGGCTGAATTCTGGAGGGCAGGTGGAATGCGTGGGGAAGACGAGGCTAGACCCTGAGAAGGAGGGGAAGGAGACCAAGAAGCCCCATGAAGAAAGGCCGAGGGACCTCTTGGGAAGGTTCAGTCTGGAGTCCCTGTGTGCACGGCTTCGTGTCTCGAATGCACTCTGGCAGGAGTGGTTCGGAAGGAAGCCACGCGGCAGGTGCGTGTTTACTTTCCACACCGCTCCAGGGTGCTCTTAAATAAAGAGCAGGCAGCATTCCTTCTGTCTGCTTGTGATTCCTAAACTCCCCGGCTTCCTATTTCAAAAGCTGAGGGCTGAGATTCTGGAGGGCAGGTGGAATGTGTGGGGAAGACGAGGCTGGACCCTGAGAAGGAGGGAAAGGAGACCAAGAAGCCCTGCGGGGAAAGGCCGAGGGACCTCTTGGGAATGTTCAGTCTGGAGAAGAGGAGGTGGAGTTGGGGGGGACAGGGTGGCTCTCTTGAAGTACCTGAAGGGTTGTGTCCCTTAGAGGAGGGCAGGGAGCTGTAAACTTTTTTTGACACTCAGATCAGCTGCGGTGGCTCAAGTGGTTAAGACGCTGAACTGCAGGCTGTGGAAGGTCGGCCGTTCGGCCGTTCGAGACCAGAGTGCGCCGCATGACGGAGTGAGCTCCTGTCTCTGGTTCCAGCTCCTGCCAACCTAGCCGTTCGAAAGCAAGAAATTGCAAGTAGATAAATAGGTACCACTTCGGTGGGAAGGGAACAGCATTCCGTGCGCCTCGGTGTTTAGTCATGCCGGCCACATGACCACGGAAACGTCTTCGGACAGCGCTGGCTCTTCGGCTTTGAAACGGAGATGAGCACCGCAACCCTAGAGTCGGACTCGACTGGCTTTCGAGCAAGGGAGACCTTTACCTTTTTAGGACCCCTTCCAACCCTGTGATTCTGTCATTCTAAGTGAAGGGGTGGGAGGCATCGGGGTTTCTGGAAAGGCGACAAGTTATGTCTTGAAATGGGTGCTTGGATAAATAGGGGAGAAGGAGGCACATTTTGACGGAGGCCTCGGCGGACTTGAGGGGAAGCCGTAGTTTAGTCTGGGGTGGTCCTGGAGGAAACGAGGTAAAGCGTGGAATGTGATGCAGCAGCCGGGTGCGGGGGGATCCGTGTACAGGCATTGGGGCCCTTTGGCCTTTCCCCAGTACTCTGCACATGTGCAGCTGAACCTCAGCATAGAGCCTAGGCGTGTACAGACTGTGCCAACCTGAAGCTGAACCCTAAGGTCACACCTAGGTGAGGTCCAGTTCCCTGGGCACAGAGGCAGAGGGAGCCCGAAAGAACGTTCAGCTCTTTCCCGGCTGGCGGACCTTGCTGGGAATAAGGGCCCTGACAACTTTCAGGCAAGGGGCCCTTTGTGCTGTCCCGGCAAACAACATAAAAGGAGAGGACCTTGCTGGCGAGCCAGCAGCAGCCAGGCTTCCTCGGTGCCCCCTCCTTTTACAGACCCGCCTCTCTGTGAGCCAGCTCAGACTGCCTGCCCTCAAAAGCGAAGGGCGGCTCTTCTGCAGAAGAGAAACGGGGTTGCCGGGAGCACGTGAGCGAACCACGGGCGGCGTTGCTCTCAGAGTTGACTGTGCGCCCTATTCTCTGGGCATGTGCAGGCTGCCATAAATCACAGCCGTTCTCGGTTTCTGGGCAGAACTTGTCAGCAGACGTGCCGGATGAAGGTGGCTGTTTTTA